ACTTTCAAAATAAGAAGATGCGAAAAATTGACTCTAATGAGCGGGGTGTTACAGTTACCCGAGGTGGAAACATGCCGAGGTGAGTCCTCTTGGGATTTCTGACGAGCTTCGAGTTCCGCCAACTTTTTACGTAAAGCCTCCAATTAGGGAAGATTCATATCGCACAGTGTGCTTAGATGGTTCCGCTCAGTGCTTGGAAAGGGGATTTGTTCTGCTTACTCTCATGGTACAATCCATGTTTGGGGGGAAGGCGGACGACATAATCATCGATGCGACTGAAATAGAACGTCTATTTATAGAGATTATATCCTTTTAGGAGAGCCAGAGTCAGGAGGTCGGATTTACGACCTATGCTTGCTAACGATGCTAGTTTTGACTGGACTGGATTCGCCAATGGGAGGATTCAAACTGTTCCGAGATCTCCTGATCGTAGACCACCCTTGTGCAAGCTCTTTCCTTCTCAATTACATTGATCCTGGTATTCATTCTTTAAAGCCTCCTGGCCATCGATGGAAGCCCCTTCTTTATTCGCTCTTCAGCAACTTCTTGTGCTCTAAAACACTAGAACGAGTTCGGAACTTTGGCGAGCCATACGATTTCTGTCGATTTGTTGGCGTAAATCTTCACGATCAATGGGCAATAGTGGTTCAGGTCTTTGTTGTGTAGGAGCTCTATGATGGTAGCAAGAGTAACTTTCGGTGGTCATCTCTTGATTTCTGGGAGCTAATAGGTTAGGAACCCCAGACCGTTGATTATTTGATGGTCGGGCCATTTCTTCTCAGTGCGGAGAATTGTGGCGAGGTTGTGACGTAGCATGTGACGTCGTGGCATGTGTGATGAGATTTGTATAGGAGGATTCGGTTGTGCCGCCACTGTGTCTAGCATGTGAAGTCCGCTCTCGTCCGGATTGTGACATTGTAATAGTGGAAAATAATGTCATTTCGTGGGTTATGAGCAGATTATGACTTCAAAGCGAAGATTAACATCAAAAAAATATATGAGGTCTTTACTCTAGCGCCAAACTGTTGTTAAACGGGAATTAACAACGATAATTATGTGGTTATGTTACGCTAACGTAGAAAATTTTGGTGATTATTGAACGTAAAAGACGTCGATTGCATGCGTAGACGAGGTCAAATTTTATTGAGAAGTTGAATGTATATGTAGTACAAGACTTGTGTGAATTGACAGTCAAAAGTCCCTCTTCCAATGTCTATATCGCGCTATTTATAGAGCGTTTGTCCCACCGTACGAGGTAGGTGTGATCGCATTTAATGTAAAGTAGCTTTTCAGAGGCGGTTGTCCGCTAGCTGGACGACAGTCATGATGATCAGGTGAGTTTTCGCCGCCTTAGGTTTCGAAAGTCAAATTTTATAGACCTCGGTTAATATCGTTCCGACTATTGGAGGACCTCGGTTGATGTGCAGGATGATCGTGTCATGGTTCAGCAATCGAGGAATAACGTCGGTTTTTACTCTTACTGTAACCGAGGTTGATATAGGATATTATACTGGACCCGGTTTAATGAATAAAGCGGATACATATTGGAAGATAAGCCCACTAAGACGTCTAAACCCAACAATACGGGCCAAGCTCAACTTGAGCCCACAAAGGTACACTCCCCCTATAAAAGGGGGGCCAAGGTACCTCATTCTCATCTCTCTCTATTCATTACATGACTACACTTTCTCTCTCTTGATCCGAGCACTGACTTAGGCATCGGAGGCCCGACGCCGGGGCCACCCGGCGTTGGGTTCTGCAGGTACGGAGGCCGGTTCGAGTTGAAGGAGCCCGGGTGAATCTTATTCACTTCATTGGCGCCGTCTGTGGGGACCCGTCAAAAAGTCATGCGGAGTTCCGACTGAAAAAATTCAAAAACCTCCTTCTTCTCCACCGGCCGCCGCCACCGCCGGCCGCCGCCTCCGCCGCCGGCCACCGAAAAATGTGCTCCGATCGGAAAATGGTTGGCATCACCGGATAGATCTTGTCAAGGTGAAGCTACCCTTAAAATTTCATGCAAAAATTCTTCTGGGGAGGCCATCAATTTTGCGGTCAAAATTGCCAGATCTAGGAAAAAATCGGTCAAAATCGAGCATTCAAATGCATTTTCCTGATGATCCGGTAGGGTTATGGAAAATCCGAAGGTACCACCGGAATCCTCTCGACGAGACGAATCTCCAGATATCAATCTTCACCGGACGCCGCCGTCCGCCGCCGCCGCGCGCCGCCGGCCGCCGTCCAAAGTTGTCCAATCGGAAAAATTCTTACATCATCTCAAAGCTCTCGCCGTGTTTATTCTACCCTTAAAATTTCGAATAAAAATTCCGCCTGGACAACCGTCGATTTACCGGTCAAAATTTATTGGATCTAGAAAATTTTTATTCAAAATCCGATCATCTTCTTCATTTTCTCGTTGATTTCCGGCGAGCCACCTCATACCGAAGGCACTAGCGGAGTCTCTTCGCCGAGGCGCACACGCAGACGGTGACGTTTGCCGGAGCTGGTGATATTTTCCGGCAGCACTTTCCCCAGCTATTTTCGCCGGAGCATTTGCAGAAGGGTGAGCACCTACCAGATGGCGGTTCCAGCAGCCCAGCCCGCTCCCACTAGCCCTACCGCGCGGCCCGTGTTGGAGTGGCCCAGAATATTGTCAGTCTGGCCCATGTGCGCGGCCCAGGAAGCACGGCCCAACAGAGTTGCCTTCAGCCCAAGAGGCCCGTTCCCAGCATCTCCATTAAGCGGGCTGCGTCCAGCCCGCGGAGCCCAAGCTCCTCTCTGCTCCCAGCCCGCGCCTAAGCCCGCGTCCAGCCCAGCCTCCAGCCCGCGTTAGCCCGCGCCCCAGCCCGAATACAGCATAACATCTGGCCCGCGAAGAGCCCGCTCTGGGCCCAGCTCCAGCCCCTGCTTCTCCAGCCCAACGGCGCGGCCCAACCCCTTTTTTCCGCGGCCCAGCTCCGTGTAGCGCGGCCCAGATGCCTCCATCTCAGCCCAGTTCGACCCATTTGATGTTCACAATGCCCCATTTCGTACCAGACCTGCGCAAATGGCCCAGAAGTGGTCCAAATTCGCCAAATTGCCCAATTTTGTGCCCAAAATTAGTTCCAACCAATTAAAAGGGAAAGGTAATGCAATTTGAGACATTATTCTCATAATGGAGGTATGTGACTAATTTAAATTTGAAGACTTGAGGATTTAAATTTGATTCATTCACGAATATTATTTGATTGGATCGAGGATACATTATCTAATTAACTCATGAGGATATTGCGACCTTTTCGTGGAAATTATTTGATTTATTGAAGGAAGAATTGTTAATTTGCTCGGAGTGTTATTTGATTTATTCGTGGATAATATTTCATTTGGTTCTTTCGGGGAGGATTATGTGATTTAGTCGTGGATATTACTTGGTTTGTTCGAGAAAAATTGTACGTTTTATTCGTGAGATTTATCCGATTCGTTTGAGGAGAATTATTTGATTTGCTCGTGGATATATTATTCGATTTATTTGTGGATGCATTTGATTTATTCGAGGAGGTGCTATTTGGTTTATTTTTTGGATGATCATTTGATTTACTTGAAGAATATATTCGACTTATGCGTGGAGGATTATTTGATTTGCTCGAGCGGTTATTGGATTTATTTGTGATGATTATTTGATTTATTCGTGGAGGATTATTTGTTTTGCTCGTGTTTACATGGTATATTCGTGGATTTATTCGGGTTGTTCGTGGAGATGTGCAATTCATTTGTGGATATTTTTGTTTTGCTCGAGCGATTATTGGATTTATTTGTGGATGATATCCCTTTAAATTTCTTTCGAGGAAACGACAAAATAATCCAAGTCTTGGCAAGCTATGGCATACGAGTTGTCAAGTATCGAGGAAAAAATGGACGAGCATGGGTGG